TAAGGCAGCGTCCCACATGCAGCAACTAGAAGGACCCACAACGAGGAATATACAACTATGTCCCGGGAGGCTTTGGGGAGAATAAAGGAAAAAATAAAATCTTAGAAAAAAAACCAAACTTAATCTATGAAAGGAAAGCAGATGCCAAGAAAGTGTCACCACCATGCACAGTCTTATCCTCACAGTTCCGTCCTTTTTGGTTGCACAGGGTTCTCTTCACAGACCATCAGCACAGCCTTGAGACCATTGAGTTATTTCTGTAAATCTGACATATGTTATTTTTTTTCCAGATGGTACTTTAAGAGGGACAGAATTAGAGAAGGAGCTGGGAAAATGAATGAATAAATCTGGAGACTGAGGCATCTTGGAAGACAGATAAACATAAAATTTAAAAGGTAAAGAAGGATTTTCAAAGGTACCTTCATTGTGAGGTCAAAAGTTAGTGGATGAGTTTCAAGGCACATAGACACATTGGCCTGGGTTTTCCCATAGAACTCAAGCATAGATAAGAGTAACAGAAGACGCTGCCCCCATTGGATGTTCTAAAAACCCCATACAGGAAAAGTTTGGCTTGAGATGGAATGTGAGGAATGGAGGAAGGAGGGACTCCTAAATCCCTTTCTCAGTCTCCATAATGGCAGAAGAGAGGAAGGAGACTCAAGTGAGTCCTGTATTACTCCCTCCAGAAATGAGCACTATGAATTCAAATGATCGTCCACAGGCCACTTAAGAGATGACAGAATGAGTTGGTGAAAAGGTATGGGACTCCTTCCTCAAGATGGGTTGGTGGGGAGAGAGATAAAGAGTAGGTTAAAAGAGATGGCTAAATTCAGACAGAAGAGTATACATATGTATTATTTTGCCTAAAAACAGAAGAATGGACTAAATGACATCAGAGTTTCTTTGAGGGTAATAGCTATTTTACAGGTATTGTTGCTAGTTTGAGAGGTGAACATAAAGGCATGTCTCAAATTGAAATGTCCATTTGTGGATGGAAAAACAAAAGCTAAAAACAAACAAAAACCGCATATACCCTGGGTTCCTGATTTCTCTTACCATTATCTTTCCTTCCAGGGGTATAGGCAAACCCTGTGCTTCTAGGGAGCCAGTGGAGCTACAAACCCTTGTGGATGGAAAAATATTTTGGTCCTCTAAACTGTAAACTAAGCATCATCTGTAGTTTGGCTTAGGTCCACTTTGGGGAAATGTGCTCTTCTGTCAACTGTGGGCTTCCTTCGAGTGTTGGGCAATGTGGCTTGAACTTATCATTACATTTCAAAATAGCTTTCCAGGGCTGAACTAAAGTACAGGCCTAACCTCATAATTATGTAGAGCAGGAGACTACCTACATTCTGTGGTTTTGAGAGGAATCTGAATTGGATTCCTTTACTTCTCTAGCCTGGAAAACTCACAATGGGACCATCTTAGATGTTCAGGGTGAAGAGTAATGAAAACAGAATTCGAGGCCATCATTGAGCGTGCTTTTTGTATATAATTTCATTTTAGCGAGGGTCATAGAGAGTGGACCTGCAATACACAGACGTCCAGTATTGCTTCTCTCCAACCTAGCCACAACTAACCATTCTAACCTCATTCCTCAATATTACCTTGAAGCTGAAGAGAGAAGTATTAATTTCTGATTCATGCTTCATGCTTTCCTACCTCTGTTCTCTCATCCCAAGACCATAACAATGTTCCCCTATTTGCAGGGCACTCATGATCTAGCCCCAGTGTGAGTGCACCCTAGTCATGAATGCTTTCATAATATTCCAAATCAGGATTAATATTTCTATTTCTGACCTAATCTTTTACTTTTTTTGAGATATAGTTGACATGCACAACACCACTGTCTAATTCCGGAATATTTTCATCGCCCCAAAAAGAAACTTTGTACCCACTAGCAGTCACTCCCCATTCCACCAACTCCCCAGCCCCAGGAAGCCACTAATCTACTTTCTGTCCCTATGGATTTGACTATTCAGTACATTTAATTAAAATGAAATCATAAAATGAATTTCCTTTTGTGTCTGGCTTCATTTGCTTAGCATAACGTTTTTAAGATTCATCTAGGTTGTAGTATGAGTCAGTACTTCATTCTTTTATATGGCTGAATAATATTTTATTGTATCAATGTACCATATTCTGTTTATCCATTCCTTGTTTGATAATAAGTTTGAGGTGGACATTTGAGTCGACGTTTGAATTGCTCCACTTTTTGGCCATTATGAATAATGTTGCTATGAACATATATGTACTAAATTTTGTGTGGACATTTGTTTCCATTTGTCATTGAGGAACTTCCAATCTGCTCTACAAAGCGCTGCATCGTTTTACATTCTCACCGACAATGTATTGAGCATTTCAATTTCTCCACATCTTCTTCAAAACTTGTTACTGTCTTTTTAATTTAAATTTTATTCATCCTAGTGGGTATGAAATGGTGTCTCATTGTGGTTTTCATTTGCATTCCCCTAAAGACTGATGATGATGAGCATCTTTTCATAGTTTATTGGCCACTTGTATATCTTCTTTAGAGCAATATCTTTCTTTTTTTAGTAATTTACAGCTGCAAATTTCCCTGTAAGCCCTACTTTAGTTGCACCCATAAATTTTGTATGTTGTTATTTTGTTTACACTCATCTTGAATTGTTTTCTAATTTCCCTTATGATTTCTTCCTTGGCTCATTGGTTATTTAGGAGTATGTTGTTTAATTTATACATATTTACGAATTTCACAAATTTCCTTCTGTTATTGATTCCCAATTTCATTCCATTGTGCTTGGAGAACGTACTTTTTGTGAGTTCTGTCATTTCAAATTTGTTGAACCTTTTTTTGTGGCCTAATATAATGTCTATTCTGGAGAATGTTCCAGGTGAACACCTGAGAAAAATATTTGCTCTGTCATTGGTTTATATTCTTGTTCAAGTTTTCTGTCCCCTTGTTGATCTTCTCTCTAGTTCTATCCACTACTTCATTTGGGATATTGAAGTCTCCAATTATTATTGTTTGATTTTCTATTACTCTCATCAATTCTATACATTTTTATTTCATGTATTTTGGGGCCCTCTTGTTAGGTGCTTATATGTTTATAATTGTTGTATACTCTTGATAAATTAACTCATCATTATAAAATATTGTTCTTTATTTCTAGTAACAACGTTTGTCTTAAAGTCAATTTTGCTGGATGTTAGTATAGCCCCTCTAGCTCTCTTTCAGTCACTCTTTGCATGATGTTCTTTATATCCTTTTACTTTTAACTTATTTGTGTGTTTGAATCTAAAGTATATGTCTTGCAGACAGCCTTTAGTTGGATCATGGTTCCTTTTAATCCATTTTGTTAATCTTTGCCTCTTAACCTGAGAAGTTAATAAGTGTAAATTTAACAGAATTGCAGGTAAGGCAGGATTTCCATCTGCCATTTTTATATTTACTTTCCATATGTCTTATGTCTTTCATGTTCCCCTCCTCTTCCTTTCCTGCCTTTTTGGTGTTAGACATTTCTGGCGTGCCATTTTAATCTCCTTATTGTCTCTTTTACTATATTTTCAAGTTATTTTCTTAGTGGTTGTACTGGAATTATAATTATAATGTTAGTTTACAACAATCTAGTTTACATTAATCAAATTTAATTTCAATACTATATGAAAATTTTGCTCATATTATAGAGCTTCTCTCTCATTTTTTGTGCTGCTATTGTCATACGAATTACTTCTTTACACATTGTATGCCCATCAACATGGATTAATAATTATTGCTTTGTACAGTTTTCTTTTAAATCAGATAGGAGAAAAAGTTATAAACAAAAATATCTGTATACTATCCTTTGTATTTATCTGTATGGTTACCATTACCCGTTCCCTTTATATATGTGGTTTAGAGTTACTTTCTAGTGTCCCTTCGCTTTTGCCTGAAGGACCTCTGTAGCATTTCTTATAGGACAGGTAAAGTTGATGATGAATTGTCTCAGCTGTTCATCCGGGAATGTCTAAATTTCTTCTTATTTATGGTGGATGGTTTGGCTGTATATAGAATTCTTGGTTGACAGTTTTTTTCTTTTGGGGCTTTGAATATATCATCCCCCTGACTTCTAGTCTTCATGGTTTCTAATGACGAATCAGTAATAATTCTGATTGAGGATCCATTGTACATGATCAGTTTGTTCTCTTTTGCTGCTTTTAAGGTTCTGTCTATGATTTTTGACAGTTCAACTACTATGTGTTTGAGTTTGTGTTTCTTTGAATTTATCCTTCCTGGAGTTGATTGAACTTCTTAGATATATTTTTAGCAATTATTCCTTCAAATAAGTCCAATGTCCAGGCTTCCTCAAGGACAATCTTTGTTGAGTACTTTCTCTTCTGTGTATGGGCCAGAGTTTCTCGTATCTTTGTACATCTCATCCTTGTTTGTTGTTATTGAAAACTGGAAATTTTAAATAACGTGGCAACTCTCGAAATCATATCTCCCCCTACCCAGGGTTTGTGGTCATTTATTAGTTTAGTGACTTTTTTGAGCTAATTCTTTGTTGTGTAACCACTGAAATCTCTGCCTGGTTCGATTAGTTGTCAGCTGATGATTGGCTAGAGACTCCCTTAAATTCCTCAAGCCAATAAGTTTCCCAGTTTAACTAAAGATCTCTGTATGTGCATTGAGATGTACCTTTAACACTCTGCCAAGCAGTTAACAACTCTGACTTAGCCTTCTGCTTTTCCTGCTTCCGCAGAGCCTCAAAGTTAGCCAGATGTAAGAGCTTAAGGCCTTCTCAAATGTTTCCTTAGCATTTGCAATGCCTTGAGCTTGTGCACAGCCCTATGTGCATGTGCATGATCTTCCAGATTTTGTGTAATATGTGAGAGCTTTACAAAGCCACATTTGGACATCTCATTCCTTAGACTGTCTTTTAAGCTTTTTGGTTAGCTTATTGTTTTCCCAACTGTTTTTCACTGCCTCAGACCTTGAGTTCCATGTTAGGTCAAATAAAGACAGTCTTGTTAGTGGGGTCTTCCAGGAAATCACCAACTAGGCCAAATAATAACAAATTCCATGTTAATGGAGTTTTGAATGAGTTCCAATTCCATTCTGCTCCCTCCCATGGTTGCCAGGCGACTGGTTTTCTCCGTGATTGCAGGCTATTGGTTTTCAAGGCTACTGTAGTGCTGGAGAGGGTGAGCAAATAGGACAAGTTAAAATGGCATAATGCTCCCTGTTCTTATCTAGATTCAGCTTTTATTTCTAAACATTCCTAGAAGTTCTATAAGCTTTTAGTTAATTTCCACAGTTACAAAAAAGTTGATTCTGGCAGTGTTTTTGTTGCTTTTATGGAAGAAGATTTTCAGACATCCTGACTCCACCATTTATTCTGATGTCCTTAGTCTGTCACTTTTAATGTACTACTTCTGTGGCACCAGTGAAGCTAGGTGTGCACACAATGGTAATACAGAATAAAATCTCCTTTACTAAGAGCAAGGACTTTAGATCACTGTGGGCTCAACAGAATGAGGGAGTCAGGTTACAAAATGAAATGAGCCTTAGAGAGAGGAGATGGTGGTTTGTGAACGAAATGTTTGAAGATGAGATTCTGGAGTGGTTGTGGTTATTGCTACTCATAGGGTCTAGGGAATAAGCAGGAGAAAAAGATTAGAGAAGGAAAAATTGGGGAATTGAAAGGACATGGAGTTAAAAAAAACCCCTATTGTGGATTTTTGCTTCACTAAAACTTAATCCAGGAGAAAGGTTAAATAGGGAAAGACAGTGAACCAAAATTTGTTAGGCATGAGGGGTAGTGACACAGATGCATCTGACAACTGCATTAAGGAGGGAGTAATATTTATTTGAGCCAAATAATGTGAGGTTCAAGTGGGAGATTTAGGGAGAAAAAGAGTCTGGAAGTGGCAATGAAGGGCAAGGAGAATGCATTCCCCACCTCAGCCCTCTGGTAGGAGCGATGTGGGCTGGAGAAGGCATGTTATGAGAAGACTTCTGAGGTAGCAGTGTCCTCAGGGAGATCCAGGTTTCTATTAGAGTAAGAAGGTGATAAACATTTCTTGAAGACATTGAAGGTATGGGGAGTTTGTAGGAGGAGCCTACAGGACACAGTTAGATTGTTGCAGGATATAAGGGAGGGCTGGGGTCAGCAACAGTGATATGCAGAGTCACGTGGGTATCAGTATCTGGAGGAAAATGGCTTCCCAAGGGATCCTGGGATTTTGTGGCAACAGTAGTCATAAATTAATGCAAGTGAGGGGTATGGAGTGACAGAGTTTCCCAGGAACATGAACAATTATACGGTTCAGGCTTTACTCTTGCTAAAGGCAGCTTCAAGCTGAGGTCTCTCTTAATGAGTGACTAACTCTTGCCCTATGATGATGGAGACACCTAGCCTCCATTTGCCCGTAAATTCCTATCCTTGTGTCTGGGTTCAGCAAAGGGCCTAATGACAAAATCTTTACTGACCATCACTCAGCTATGAATTCTCCTTTCTCTGAACTGGCCTTATCATCAGTACTTCTTTTTGTGTATTCTCTGCATGTAAGACCAGATCTCTTGAACTAAATATCAAAGTTCTGATACAGAGGGCAGCCTTAATGAAGCAATTTCTCACACTTATTTACACCTCACTATCTGGTCCAGAAGGTCTCAACCCCTTCTTTTGCTATAACACACACAACACATGTTGTTCCAATGAGTGATAGTTTCCCGTGGGTGCACCCAGGTCTTGACGAAGCCTCAGAAATTGATATAGCTATATGGTCACACCTTGTAAGTGCTACAGTAATCAACACAACTATTAATTACACATCAGTTATCATTCCCTGCCTAAGGTTGTTGCAGCACAGATGCTGCCCATTAAAAGTGATTCTCAGCATTCTAGCTGTAACTGCATCCTATTTCTCCCTGTTTAGAAAGCATATCATAGTAACAGTGGCATAATTTCAGTGATAAACTTGCATCTGTGCTAATGTTTAAATCATTTTCAAATTTTAGTACTTTACTATGAGGAAAAATTATTCAAAACCCCATCTCACAGTTGTTTGAAAACATCATTGTCATTACCACACAATGAGAACTATTGCACTTGAAAAGTTTGGGGGGTATATCTGAGTGCCTACAGGTCATGTTTTGCATTTGTAACCTGGCCTGGTTGTTTTCAGTAATCTAAATTCTTTAAGCAGTGAATTGAATACATTTCTTTATACCGTAGGAGGATCCAGTGAAAGATTTTTCTTCCGTTAGAGTAGCTATGCAAATTTATCAAGTTTGTATTCTGGTTTCACCTCTTAATAGCTTTACATTTGACAAGCTAATTAATTTCTCTATCTTCAGTTTCCACATCTTTAAAATAAACATAATAGTATGTATATCATAGATTTATTGGCAGGATTAAGTGAGTTAATATATGTAAAGTGCTTAGAACGGTGCCTAGGACCACGTAAGTACTCAATAAATGTTAGTTGCTGGTATAAATATTACTATACTCACAGGTCATTTTATGATACAGATGCTGTCTTTATATAATGTTGCTAAGATGTATTTCATAGGGTTTAGTAAATATTGTAGGTTGCTTTATTTGGAAATGGAAGGGTTTTCACAGAGTCTTCCATAGAGTCTCTTTATCTCTCTTTTTCCCCCAGCTTTATTGAGATATAATTGATATATAACATTGGATAACTTTAAGGTTTACAATGTGATGATTTGGTACTCCTATACATTATAAAATGTTTGCTACAATAAAGTTAACACAACCTTTACCTCAAATAATTACCATTTTGTTGTCATTGTTGTGGTGAGAATATTAAAGCTCTACTCTCACAGCAACTTTTGAATATAGAACACTAACAATAACAATATTGTTAACTGTAGTCATCATCCTGTACATTAGATCTCCAGAACTTATTCATCTTCTAAGTAAAAGTTTGTACCCTTTGACCAACATCTTTGATCTCTCTTGATAAATAGGAATATGATTATTATCTTCATCCTCATCATTATTTTTATTATTAAAACCATTTATATAGTGCTGGTCTAAGCAATTTTTATATTAACTAACTGAATCCTCACAAAACTGTCTCAGGTAAGTAATATTACCTGCATTTTGCAGATGAGAAAAAAAATGAGGCACAAGAAATTTTACAAGCATTTGGAATAAGTTCCTAAGCACCAGAGGTGGAATCCATACCCAGGTCTTCTAGCTTCAGGATTATACACATAATCTCCACTGCATCTCACAAGTAAATATAAACATTATAACTGATGGGGTTACAGCTACAGTTCCTAATACCAACCCAGGCAGCACACCAACCAACTCAAAGGATGAATCCATGACTTTAAGGTCATTTCCACCACTTTCTTGGTAGCAAATGTTAAGACTCATTCATTCATCTATTTATTCATTCATTCAACAAATAGTCACTGAGCAATGTTTCCAGCATTGTTGTAAGCTCTAGGATACAGTAGTGAAGAAAGCAGAGAAAGCCACTGCTATCAAAGAATTTACATCTTATCTTAGTCAAGGGGAGCAGACAGAAAACAAAATGCCTAAGTAAGATATGTATTATGTTAAAGGACAATAAATGGCATTGGAGAAAATAATGCAGGGAAGGAGAATAGATTATGTGTGTGTATGTGAGGGGAGATTCCATTTTAAACAAAGTAGTTAGTTAGAGAATGCATCACTGAGAAGGAGCCATTAGAGCAAAGAGCTAAAGGGGGAAATGGGAACAAACCATATGGGTATCTGGAGAACGAGCATTTGCAGCAGAGAGAACAGCCACCAGGCCCAGCAAGGAAGCATTATGTCTAAATCAGAGTAATTCAGTGATAAGACTAGAGATTTGGGGGTGGGACATGTCATGTAGGGACTTAAAGACCTTTATAAGGACTTCGTGTTTTCTGAGTTAGACAGGGAGCCATTGACGTGTTTTAAGCAGAGAAGTGCTATGATCTGACACAAATTTAAGGTATCATATGGCTGATGTATTAAAGCTAGGATGGAGATGGGTAAGGATGGAAGAAGGGGGCATGTAGGAAGCAATTGCGATATTCTAGGCAAAATCTGATGCTGACATGGATCCGGGTGCTATCAGTAAGACTGTAGATATATGCTGAAGATGAAGCCAATAGGATTTCTTGAAAGGTTAAATGTGGAATATGAGAGAAATAGAAGAGTCAAAGATGACTTCATGGTTTTGGCTCAAGCAACTGGAATGATGGAGTTGCCTTCAAGTGAGATGTGGATAATTATAGGTGGATCAGATTTGGCCAAGAACTGTGTGTGTGTGTGTGTGTGTGACGGGGTCATAAGATAAGTTTGAGATATGTTGAATTTGAGATGGCTATTAGGCATTCAAATGAAAATAATGAATAAGAAGATGGATATCAGGAGGGTTTCATGCTAGAGATACAAATTCTAGAGTCATTGGCACAAAGGAGTGAGTGTAGACAGAAAAGAGAAGTCATCCTAGGAGTAAGCTCTGTATTATTTCACCATGAAAACTTCAGGGAGATGAAGAGAAACCTGCAAGGGATAATGTGAAGACATGGACAGTGAAGAAAGAAGAAAATTTGGCAAATATATATTTTGGGCAGCCAAACGTAGAAATGTCTCAAGAAAGAGGGAGTAATCAGTATCATATGCTGCAGCGTACGGGTGATCGTTAGAGGAACAGTATCGAGTGGTGGGATAAAAGCTAGTTAGAATGGAATCAGGAGAGAATCAGAGACAATAAGTACGAACAAGTCTCAAATAGTTTTGCTCTAAAGGCGAGCAGAGAATTGGGGTGATAACTGGAAGAGAAAATGAGGTCCACAGAAGTTCTTTAAGATGGGAGAAACTACAGCATTTGTGCATTGCTGATGGGAAAAACCCAAGTGAGAAAGGGAGATAAATGTTTCAGGAGAGGGTGGGGGAGTATTGCTGCCCCACCTTTGTCCTTATTAGGCCAGAGGGGATGGGGTTGAGCGCACTTGGGAAGGTATTGGATGGAAGTGTAGATGGTTCATTTCAGAGAAGGAGCTCCAGGATCTCGGGCAGACTTCCTGGGATCAAATCTCAGCTCAGACATACCCTCACTGGATATCTTTGAGTAAGTTATTTAACCTCTCTGAACTTCTGTGTTGCTTGAAAAAATACTCAGCACGGGGCTTAATTAGCTGTTATTGTTATAAG